GATATAGATAACAGCTATGTAATAATACTATAAAAGGCACAGCTAAAAGATAATGGATAATATTACTATATTTGCTTTGAAGTATATGTTTGTATAAAGTTATTACTTTATATTTAGTAAATAAATAACTAGCAGATTTATAAAAAAAATCTATTTTATATTTTTTGTCTATAGTTAAAAAAGTAAAAGCAATTAAAGCAAGTTTTTCTTTAAGTAAAATATTATTAAATTTATTTAACAAACTATGATCTTTTATTTTACGTTTATCTAAAAATTTAAATATTTTAAAAACATCATATTTATTTTTATTAGTAACTGATGTTATTTGCCCTAATCGTTGCTTGCGATAATAATAAAGTTTATCATTAATTTTAAATATTGTAGGTAAAGCTATTGCTATGTCGTATCTAAAAATATGATCTTCATATAAAACATTAGACTCAAACTGTATTTTGTTTTGTTGAATAAATTTTTTTTTATATAACCCACACACAATACAAGATGGTTCTGTTAACATGCCTAACTCTGATATATTTTGAATATCAAAATTAGTATTTAAATTGACTTTTAGTAATGTTTTATTTTTAAATTCTAAATGATCACAGAAAACTACATCAGCATTATTATCCATTACTATTTTATAAAGCCTTTCATACATGTAAATATCAATACAATCATCAGAGTCAACAAAACCTATGCATTCGCCTTGTGCTATTGCTATTCCTGCATTGCGAGCGTTAGATAAGCCACCATTTTTTTGATGAATTACTTTTATTTTATTAGCGTGTTGTGCTTGCCATTCGTCTAATTTTTTGCCAGTGCCATCAGTAGAACCATCATTAATACAGATTATTTCTATTTCTTGCAAAGTTTGATCAACTAAAGATTGCAAGCATTCATCTAGCCACGGTTTAGTATTATAGCAAGGAACTATTACACTAACTTTATATTGGTGTTTTTCTTTAATGTAATTTGAACTAGATATTTTATCCTGTTCATTTATTAACATAGCCAAACCTTATCAACAACTGAATTATTACATTTCTTTTTTAGTAATTACAATCAAATAATCACCAACAATACGGATGAAAACTATATTATAATCCTCTAGTATACTAAAATAATCTATAAATAACTGTTGTTCTTTATTAGTAATTCCAAAATATTCAATAACATAAATATCATTCTCTTTAAGTAGGCACTTGGTATTTTCAAATAAAGTGGTATTTGCATTAAAATCATGCGAGCTATTATTAATGATGATTTCTACATTACTAACTTGTAAGGTAAAAAAATAAAGATTTATTAAAATAAATTTTTAAATTTTACTCTAGGTATTTCATTTAAATCACCACCAATGCTAGCATTATAAATATTAACATTATTTTCAGATAAAAATTTATAAACAAATTTAAAAGATTTTGATATTAAATTTGTTATAATATTAGGATCGCATGACCTTACATTATATGTTTCATTTTTGCTATCTTTATACCAATGCATATTAGTATATACTGTTTTTTCAAAGTTGTTGTCAACTCCTATAAAGTATATTGTATCAAAACCTAGCCAAGTTGCTACTTGTAGCATAAGCAAAACAATAGTATTAGTATGTGCTAATATCTTATTAAGATCATTTTGATAAAATCCGTCGTATAAACTTTTTCCAGAATTAGCATAATAAAAATTTAAAAAAGAACAATTAGGAAGTTTTTTAGGAAATTTTTTTATTAATTTATATTGACTAAAAAGAAAATAGTATTTTGCAAAATTAGTTGGGATTTTATGACCGTAATCTGTAATCGCTGATTTATCGGCAATACCATAAAACATTGCTTTCTTTAGTCCTAATTTATTGAGTTTAAATCCTTGATTTACTGCCATAGTATATTCATTATTAAGAACAGATAAATCCATGCTCTTTAAAGATGGTCCACCACCAATTATAAAACAGCTTTTGCCTTTAAATTTATTTTTATATAAATCAGAGCAAATTACATTAGAAAAAACTTTATTATAGCTTTCTGAAGTAAAACATTTAATTTTATATTTTGAATCTTTCGATAGCTTGTCCCATAAAAATCTGCAAAAAAATATATTTCTATCAAAACAAAAATCAAGCAAAGACATATTTTACTCCAAATATTTCTAAATAAACAATTAATCATGCTTAGTAACAACAATCAACCCCCCAAAATATGAATCTATGAACTTAGAATCATAACCATATAAATTATTAAAATAATCAATGAATTGATGATCAGGATTTACTACATGAAAATCTTCAATAATATAAATGCCATTATTTTTAAGTAAGTGCTTAGTGTTTTCAAATAATGTTATATTAGCATTAAATTCATGCAAGCCATCATCAATGATGATATCTAGGGTACGAGGTTGTAAATTTGCTTTAGTTATAAAATTTTTAATACTAAGCTTTGATGTTTGATCACAGACATAGGTATTAATTCTATTTTCAGTAAAGATAACATCAGGGTCAATATCTATACCAATAATATTAGCATTAGGAAAATAATCTCTCCATGCTCGCAAACTACCACCTGGAATACTGTGTCTACTCCAAGACATATTAGAAGGTGTTTCTGGATTTTTGCATCCTATCCCACATTCCAATACTATTTTAGTTTGCTTTCTATGTTGAAAAAATAATAAATCATAAATATCATGATAATAATTTCCTTCTCTATCGTCGCTTGTTAATATTTTATAAGTAGCACTTCCTTTATCTGACTTATATTTATCAAACAATTCATCTAAAATATTTTGTTTGTTGCTAGTAAAGCATACAGTACTATTATATTTATATGTTTTTTGTATTTTAGAAATGTGTACTTTTTTTTGGTTATAAAGTTTATCTTTCCACCTATTCCTATTTAACTTTCTTAATAAACCAGCAAACAAAATACTATCGATAGTTTTAATGGTATTACGTAAAGTTGTATTCATAGAATTACTTCTTAGGTTGTGAATTAAATATTAATTATACCTTAATTTATATTGTACAATCAAATATACAACAAAAGATTTATATTTTGTGTTAATAAATATAGATTTAATAAAAAAAACAATATATTCTTTTTTTTGATAAAATATCTAATGCGAAAAAAAGCTTTAAAAGGAATTAAAAATTTAGAATTTATAGATTATAGCTATGATAATAATTGGGAAGATATGAAATTAATGTCATTATGTGATCATAATATAATAGCTAATAGCACATATTCATGGTGGGCGGCATATCTTAATACTAATAATAACAAAACTGTAATTGCACCTAAAGCTTGGGGTACTTTATTAAAAGGTAGAGAAAATGCAAATGATTTATTTCCTCCTAGTTGGATAACAATATAATTTATTATAAACTAAAATTAGTTAGTATTTTTTGTGCTTTGTTGATAGCTCTTGGTATTATATTTTTTTTTCTTGTTAATTCTATAATTTGATTGTAATTAGAATTATGATAAAACTGTTTATAATTATTACCAAATTGAGATGGATCTCTAAAAGCAGTTAGATTATGTTTTTTTGCTAACAAGCTAAAAATAGATTGGTCATGTCTATGCTCTATAAATTCTGGATAATTATCGTAACCACATTGATTATTAAGATCAGTACTTAGCCTTTTATCTTGTGAATAATATAATAACTCGTCAATAAAACTCAGAGTAAAGCTAGATTTTTTCCATAAAATATAACTAGTACAAATTTGTTTACTGTTTGCATATTTTGGGCTATCGCAACTCATTAAGATAAAAGCATCTTTTTTCGTCCAGGTTCTTTCTAAATGCTCAAATAAGGAAAAACAAATAATATCTTGACCTGTGGTTAAACTTATGTCAATTAATGGAGATATTGGATTAATAAAATAGGCTCCAGCATCACAATAAAATAAGAAATCACCAAAGTTTAACATCTCTAATGATTTTTTTATAATATATGGTTTCCATAGTGCATATCCACCTAGTCTTACTTGATTTAAAATTTTTTTATTTTTCGCATAAAATTGTTTATCAATATCTTTAGGTGAATACGAAATAACTTCATCAAATAATCCTACTGTTTTTCCTGTTGCGCTATTTAGTTTTTGCGATTTTTTATAAAGATTATTAGAATAATTAATTAATAACTTCATTTTATATTTCTCCTAATTGCAATTATTTATTAAATACAGTAGTCTCTTATAAAAAATATAATATTTACAATTATCTTTCAATTTGGTGGTTTCAGTTATGATTGATGGCTCTATTAAAAAATTTATTTTAACTTATATACCCCGTTCTTTTTTCAACAAAACACCAATTATTAATATAATAAATGCTATTAGAAAGATTATCTTTATATTTAATATTTACAAATCGTTATATGTATTAAAAAAGAACCTATTAACTTTTAAAATTAATAACTTTCACCATCATAATTATTTACATTTTTATAATGCCTTTTTTTACAGAGAAGCACTATTATTTAAAAACTTTTCAAAAAAATTAACAAGTCAATTAGGTCAAGATTTATTTATTATGTCTGAATTAAACTTTAAAAAAAATGGTTATTTTGTTGAGTTTGGTGCTACTAATGGTATTGATTTAAGTAATACATATTTTTTAGAAAAATATTTAAACTGGCAAGGTATTGTTGCAGAACCTGTGCATTCTTATCACCACAAATTAAAAGCAAATAGAAATTGCAATATAGATACTAAATGTGTTTGGAGCAAGACAGGGCTAATATTAGATTTTGCTGAAACTTCAAGCCCTGACTTATCCACATTAACAACTTGTATTGATCGTGATTTGCATAAGGATAAACGAAAAAATCATGTTTCATATAAGGTAGAAACTATTTCTTTATTGGATTTATTAAAAACACATAACGCCCCTAAACAGATAGATTATCTTTCAGTTGATACCGAAGGTTCAGAATTTGAAATACTTAATGCTTTTGATTTTACCGCTTACGATATTAAAATTATAACTGTAGAACATAACTATAATGCTTATAGAGAAAAAATATATAATTTATTAATTGCACAAGGATACCAGCAAGTTTATAAAGAACATTCACAATTTGATGATTGGTATGTAAAACTTTAATCATTTTTTTAAACTGTAGAGCATCCTAAGGCTTCTTTAATATAAAACTTATAAGCTTTACGAATACAAGCTTCTAAGCTAGTTTTTGGCTGCCATCCTAATGCTTTAAGTTTACTAATGTCCATTAATTTTTGTTTTATGCCGTTGGGCTTAGTTAAATCATGACTAAATGTTCCTTTATAGTCTAATACCTTAGCTATTATTTGATAATACTCATTAATAGTACAATCAATGCCAGAGCCTACATTTATTATATTTGGAATATTAGAAAAATTTTGTAAAGAAAATAAAATAAAATCTGCTAAGTCTTCAGTAAATAAAACTTCACGTCTTGGATTACCATCACCCCAAATTACTACATTAGCCTGTTGTTCCTCTAGTGCACGATGAATTTTTTTTATAATTGCTGCAATAAAATGTGAATTATTTGCATCATAATTATCCCAATAGCCATATAAATTACAAGGGATATAGGTTTTATACTGCAAGCCATATTGTAAAGCAATACATGTGGTTAAATGGGCTACGGTAGCCTTAGCTATAGCATATCCTTGATTAGTTGGCTCTGGTAACCCTTGTAATAGCTGTGATTCTTTAATCGGATTTTCTGCATTTTTAGGATAGGCACAACTACTAGCTAAATTAATTAGCTTGGTAATTCCTGCTTGATAAGCCGCCTGAATAACATTCATACCTAACAATAGGTTCTGATAACAAAAATCATATTGAGCATCCATATTAGCTTTAATACCACCAACTAAACCAGCACAATGAATTACAATATCTGGTTTAGTTTTTTGTAAATAAGCAATAATAGCTGCTAAGTTGGTTAAATCTAATTCAGATCTATTAGGGGCAATAACCTGATAACCTCGCTTGTTAGCCAAGTTACAAAGATTACGTCCGACCATACCCGTGCCACCAGTTATAAATAATCTCATGTTAACTCTGCTTCAGTTGGTACTTTAATATTTTTTAGTTGTGCTTGCTTAACTAATTTTGCTTGCTGTAAGTCCTGAGTAAGCATTTCTCGACATACATCAACAACACTAAATTCTGCTTGCCAGTTTAATTTAGTTTTTGCTTTAGTAGCATCTCCTAAAAGGTTTTCAACTTCACTAGGTCGAAAATATTTAGTACTAACTCTAATTATAATATCTCCTATTTTAACAGCAGGGGCTAAATTGTTATCAACTGTAACAACTGTAGCTATTTCATCAATTCCATTATTGCTAAAGTTAAGCTTAATACCTATTTGACTAGCAGCCATAATTACAAAATCACGCACTGTAAGTTGCTTGCCAGTAGCTATAACAAAATCATCTGCTTGCTGTTGTTGAAGCATAAGCCATTGCATGCGTACACTATCTTTAGCATGACCCCAATCTCGAATAGCATTCAAATTACCAAGATACAAACATTTTTCTAAACCATAAGCAATATTAGCAATACCTTTGGTTATTTTACGAGTAACAAAAGTTTTACCTCTGCGTGGTGATTCATGATTAAATAAAATACCATTACAGGCATAAATACCATAAGCTTCTCGATAATTTATAGTAATCCAATAAGCATAAGCTTTTGCTATGGCATATGGCGACTGTGGCTTAAAAGCAGTTATTTCACTTTGAGGTGGTGGAGATTTACCAAATAATTCAGAAGTAGACGCTTGATAAAACTTAGTTTTATGTTCAAGGTTATTAATACGAATTGCCTCTAGCAAGCGTAAAGTTCCAAGTGCATTTACATTAGCTGTATATTCAGCAATATTGAACGAAACAGCTACATGAGACATAGCAGCTAGATTATATATTTCATCTGGTTGAATTATTTTAACTAAACTAATGATACTAGCGGAATCGGTTAAATCTCCATAATGCAACTTTAAGTTATTATGATTTAAAATATGATTTATTTTTTCAGTATTTATAGAAGAAGAATAACGTATTAAACCATGAACTTGATAATTTTTTTCTAATAAAAACTCAGATAAATAAGAACCATCTTGACCATTAATACCAGTAATAAGTGCAATTTTCATGTGTTAATACAATCCTCAGCTTTTTTACTTTTTGGCATATCTATAGTTTTCATTTTTTGCAAACATTGTTTTACATACTCAGCACGCTTTGCTACATCAAATTCTTTGATAGGAAAAGGTATTAAATAAAATAAATCAATAATTGAAGTTAGTATTTTAAGTAATCGTGGAAATTTAGTTTTATTTTCAAAAAATGGAAACCAAGATCCTAAACCAATTTGCTTTATATAATTATTAATAAACTTAGTATTAGTCTCTTTAGGGTAATCATTTTGGCTATTATTAGATAATTCTGTACCATTAAAACAAATAATATTATGTGGAATCATATATTTTAAAATACGTAAATGTATATCGCCACTATAGGGGTAGCTAATTTTATCAAATATACTTTGGTGCATCATTTCACCTATAGCCTGAATAACATCTTTCCTAAAAGCAAATGCTTGCATATCTATAAGTAGAGCTCTTTGCCACAAAGGCATGGCTAAAGGAATTCTTAAGTATTGGCAACATCTATAAAGTAAATTTTTATTGCACCGCATTAAAGGTAGGCAAATTTGTGGTTTTTTACTCAATAAAAAGTTATTAAATTTTTTCCAGCTACCTTTAATGGGCTTAGCATCGCCGTCCATAAATACTAAATAATCAAACTTATAATTATTTTTTAGTACATGTTGTAATAAAAAATCTCGACCCTGCATAAAAGTAGAGTTAGGTAAAAACAAAGCACCATCTATTTGTTTATCCCAAGTTAAAAATATAACTTCTGCACCTGAATTAGCCATTTCAGCCATACGATCTGGGTATTGATATGCTTCACCTTGAACTAAATAATAAATCATCTGCTTTACCAGTTACTAAAGAATTTAGTTTTAATTGAAATTAAGTGTCGTCAATTATTTTTATTATAAATTAAATATGTATTTTTTATAAACTATTATATTATACATAAAAGGTCAAATAAAAGTTTATTTTATAATCACAGGTTGTTATATGATCATACATCTTCTACTTCATGATACGTCTTTTCAGAGACAAATAAAAAGTTTAAATTCAAGGCAAATTGTCGCAGTAATGCTAATTGCATTTCAAGACGATTTAACGCACGAAGTTAATCTTTTTAGTGTCTCCCGTAGGGCAAAATATTTATAGTTTAGAGTATTGTTTAACAATTTAACTTGCATGCTGAAAAAATGTATTTTGAGGTAGAAGATGTATACACCGGTTGTTGTTGCAGGTGGTAGTGGCACAAGATTATGGCCGTTATCTCGTAAATTATACCCAAAACAATTTATCCCATTAATAGATAACACTACTATGCTACAAAATACTGTTAGCATGGTAAATGGTTTAGCCTGTAAGCCACCTATTATTGTTTGTAATCAGGCACATAGATTTATTGTAGCAGAACAGTTACGCCAGCAATGTATCGAAGCCGATGCCATAATTTTAGAGCCTATTAGTCGTAATACCGCACCAGCCATAGCACTTGCAGCACTTCATGCAGTTAATAACACGGATGATTTGTTATTAATATTACCTGCTGATCATATAATTAAAAATGCAGCTAAATTTTGTGGAATTATTGAATCAGTTACAAAATATGCTAAGCAAGGCAAACTAATAACTTTTGGTATAGTTCCTAATAAAGCAGAAACTGGTTATGGCTACATTAAGCAAGGTAAAAAAGTTGCTAATAATATATTCAATATAGAATCTTTTATTGAAAAACCTAATTTAACCCTAGCTAAAAAGTTTTTAGCTTCTGGCGAATATTTATGGAATAGCGGTATTTTTTTAATGCAAGCATCTAGCTATTTAGCTGAATTAGCAAAGTATCAGCCTGATATTTTAACTTGTTGCACTCAAGCCATGCGCGGGGCTTATACTGATTTAGATTTTCTACGCTTGGATGTAACAGCTTTTTGTAAATGTCCGCAAAATTCTATTGAT